TTTTTTTTTTTTTTGTCATAATCTTTAAAGGTGCTGCGTTGATAGCACATAATTGACAGTTTTCCTTTTTTTTTTTTTTACCAATTACGAATGAAAACTTGATAAATGTTCATCTGTAAAAGATTCTGGTAACATTTCCTTGTACATGTAGCTTGACTCCTATCTAGGTAACATGTGCCCGACTTTCATAAACATGTAACGGTCATCTCTCTCAGATTTTCTGTGTGCTATAAAAATATCAATCCAAATTATCTAAAAATTTAAAATATCAGAAAAAGATAAATTTATATATTTAAACTCATCTTCTATTTTAAATTCAAATAATTGTAATAGTAGAAATATAGATTGTTGGAAATAAATTTCGACTGCTACCTACTATTCAATAAAATCATTTATTTGATATATTTTGCAAAATACCAAGGTTATGATATTTTGAGTAACATTTACCATTTGGGGTTTCAAAATGTAGAATAGAACTCCCTTTTTTATTCCTATAAATTTTGTGCCTTTTAATTTGATAAAGAAAAAGTTTTCCTATAAAAAAGTACTTAATGCGCCATGTACGATTGCACCACATTCACAAACTCAAGGCCTATCCTATACAAAAAAGTAGGTCTTAGCATTCCTACATATTCTATTCCCTTGAGATGTTACTACGTATTTTGCTTGAATTTAATCTTTCGCCATTCAAAAAACGAATCAATTATTAGATTGGTTTCTCAATAACGTTCAATGAAAATTCATTTTTGACTATGCATACATTGGTTCCACTATTACTGGTGTTTGTCTCTGTTTGGTAGAAATTATAATTCAAATTTTAACTTAAGTCAAAGTCAAAATTTAATTTTAACCACATATTTTATAGGACCCATAATTTTTCAGTCATACATTTCATTAATATTTATCACAATCTACTTAAAATCTGATTTTAAGACAACCCCCCTCACCGGCCACCATTGGGCCCACCATTGTGAGGGGCCAGTGAGGGGGGTTGTCAACCCCCGGTACAAATATAATTTCCCTATTTGGATATGTATTGGTCAATATATAGAAATTTATATTAAGGACCAAAAATAGTTCTTTAATCGATGTTAAATTTACTTTAATGATGTAGATTAAGCCGATCAACCCGTATTTATGAATTTTGTTGTGGATTGCTTATGAGTACGACGTAGTTTGAACAGAGAAATGTGATTCTCAACTTGGCCTGAAAGCAGATTTAATCTTTGTCGAGCGAGTCTTACAATTTCTTCTAATTTTACGTTTATTTTTTGTAAAGCAACAAGAGAATTAGAAAAGATTAGTATAAACCACAGGTCAGTATATATCGATGGGTCATGAAGGGACAAGACTTGCCTGTCCAGAATTAAATCTGTGTGCGGTGTGGGCACATCTTATTATGATTAAATTGACGAAATCTTCATGATTCCATTTTAAATCACATGTTATATTTTATTGTTTGTCCTGAAAAACAATGGGCATAACGAATGAAATGTGTTAGGTTTTATAGCGGTGGTAATCTTTAAATAAAAATATAGTTGTAAAAGAGTTTTAAAAATTAAGGAGTCAATTGGTAGGTTTTATATATGAATTGAGAGTCCTTGCATTCTGTTACGGAACAAGAAGAAAAAAGTTGTTGCTCGAACGTCCAAAACGAAAACATCCCTAGTCTGTCGCTCGAGCGACTCATCCGGCACTGTTCTCTTGTTGCTTTTTTTTTTTATTTTCGCAAATGTATAATATCGTAACAAGTAATATAGTGAACATTTGAATCCGGATTATCGTTCACACGAGAACTATATTTTAAGACTTTAATCTAATTTTTCTAACTTCTGTTTGACAAAAACAAATAAATAATTATGATGATTATAATTATTTTTCCTAACTACTTTTAACTAATGGAAAATATAAAATGACAGCAAACAATAAATAATTGAAAATTCAAATATATGATGAATATTAGGGAATAACAATTTTATATATTGATCACATTTATTCTTAATTCAATATTCATAACCTAATGTAGTGTTCGATCGAATTCTTCTATTATATTCAATTTACCCCTCTCGAATTCTCATCGAACTTATTTAACTAATTCAATTTCATATCTCTATATGAATCAATTTTAGTTAAACGAAACACTGATTCTAAGAATTCATATTATGACCGCAATAATTAGTATAGGTATCTCTACACGTTATACTAATTACCCAATTTTACTATATGGTCTAAATCAAAATCTCACCTCTCGATTCGTAAGAGACTCACATAATCATCAAATTATTGATCAGGTAATTTAATGCGTTAAACTCATAATAAAACCAACACATAAATAAATAAATCACAGAAATTTTGAATTAAAAAATAAAGGTTCACCCGTCAACTACATATTTTCCCTAATATAAAATTTTTTTATTCATATTGTAAAAATAAAAAATGCAAAAGTGAAAAGATGTCACTAAAAATTGACGAAACGTGAAAATTTCTGATATTTGCCTTTTTTTCCTTTCTTTTTTTTTTCTTTTTTTCTTCTTTCTTTTCCTGCCTCATCCGCCTTTCTTGTTTTCTTCTCTCTCTCGCCCTTTTTTCCTTTTCTTTCTCCTCTTTTTCTCTGTATTTTTCCTGTGCATTTGTTTCTGTTTTCAGCGCCCCCTCTCTTATTCTCCCCTATACTATGTGGGAATATATATTCAATACAAGTCTATTGAGTTTCACTTTTGAATTTTGCCATTATTCTCGACTTTTGTATTCTTTTCTCCAATTCTTCATTAAACATAAAATTGTACTTACAAAATACAATATAACATAAATTAGGTAAAATTTTATCCAAAAGACAATAAAATATCATGATTTAAGGCCTCGAATAAGTGTAAAAATTACACTTATCACACTCTCAAACTTGAATCTTTGTTTTTACTCAAACAAAACTAAAACCAATCAACCCCACAAACAAGCAATATTAATTGCCTAATTGGTGGTCAGTCAATCAAGTAAAGCAACAAGATCTAACTAGTTAACATGGCTTTCAATTCTTAGCCCTCAATAGTCAAATATGTTCTTTCATCACTCATAAGATTCACACATCCACAAACTTATTATTTTCACTCTTTTCCAATGTGTGAACTAATGTCTGATTTTTTTACTATCATCACTTCTCTAGTTTGGCAAATTTTCACTAATTGCAATTCAACATTTCAATAAACAAGGATTCTCCATTAATTTTGATTGTTTCAATCTTTAGGACTTAACTAAACTAACAATCTCTTATTAAAAATCAAATTTTTTTAAATGAGTGTTTGGGACCTAACCAAGGCATTTGGCACGTCATCTGTTTCATGCACCTGCTTTTTCTGAAAAAAAATTTATGAATAATTTTTTTCATTTATTTTAAGCATTCTCTCTTTTAAATTTTCTAAATGATCCATGTAATAAACTTTATGCCGATGACTCTCAAGTCAAATGATCATATGGCACCCTATTTTAAAGACCCTTGCAGGCTTAATTGCTTAAGTCATAAAGGCTACGAAGAGAAATTTTCAAATACAATAATTTTTTAATTAATTTTTTTTTAATACCTTGATTAGTGGAACGTCCATTATTAAACACCAATTCAAGTAAAATGACCTCTAACTTGAGATTTTCACCCAATTGCATCCTATTGACCTTAGACAATCCACACAATATTTTTTTTTTTTACACATGGAATCCCCATTTATCTCAACATCTTCCCACAACAGTGAAATCCCCCCAAACTATTCTGAATTTGGTCTAAGGATGTAAAATTTAGTGGTTTTGGATTTTAACATCTATGGTTCACTATTTCAACATATCCATTATGAAATCAACTCATTCTTACACAATACTTAACTTAATTCACGTGCTCAATATATATCAAATTTCACATGGAAAAGTAA